CATTCAGCATTCAGGAGGCAGAGATAGGCATACAGATCTCTGTGAGTTCCAGGCTAGGCAAAGCTACCTTGTGAAAACACTCAATGAGTGCTGGAGATGCAGCTACGCAGAGCCTAGAGTGTACAAGGCACTGACCTCCAGGGCAGCAAAAAAAAAAAAAAAAAAAAAAAAAAAAAAAAAAAAAAAAAAACCTAAAAATACAGAGATTATAAATGAGGGTTGGGATGAATGAAAAGCTGATGATGTTGCTAGGTTTACTATGTCAATTGCTTTGACCCATAACTGACAGGGGAAATACACTGGGTGGGGGTCAAGAATCTGTGTGGGGTTAGTTCTTCTGCAGCCCAGTCTGGTTTTGAACTCCTGATCCTCCTCCTGCCCAGGCTTCCTGAGCTCTGGAATTACAAGTGTGGGTCACGATGCCCAGGCTGAGGCTCAAGAATCATAGATGACAGGACTGAAAAGCGTGGAGGACTCACTGGTTCACGATCTGTGAAACTGTTTCCCGGCATGATTAATTTTAAATTATGCACATCCTCCAACTCTTCCAGTCTGTCAACATAGTTGCTCTTCTGATTACACATTAACTAGAGATTAGCTTCAACAGTCCTTCCTCCAATCACCTAGCAAAGATGTCAAAACTGTCAAACCTTTTTGCCAACTGGGCTGCCCTCTACTGGATAACTTAAGACACCGAGACAAGTCAGTGCACTTGGTTTCACAGAGCAGCACAGATACATGTAGACAGTTCATATCCAAACAGAGGTTCCCTGAAGAAGTTAAAAAAAGAAAACTACCTCAAAATACTAACCCTGCTGCAAATTAATGTCTACCATGGAAACGGCACAGTGCCATCTCCATAAGTAAATAACTTCAGTCATCCTGAGAACCCACAATAGAGAGAGCTCTAGTTTCCTTTCTAACCTTGGAGGCAGATCTGAAACAGGAATATGTGGGGGAAAAAATCTTTTGTTGTTGTTTTTAGAGACAGGGTTTCTCTGTGGCTTTGGAGGCTGTCCCGGAACTAACTCTTGTAGACCAGCCTGGTCTTGAATTAAGAGATCCATGGCCTGCCTCAGCCTCCCGAGTGCTGGGATTAAAGGAGTGCGCCACCACCACCTGGCTTGGGCAAACTAATCATGTATGATGATTTTATGGTGATACAAATCTCATTTTTTAGTCCATTTACTCTATGATGCTTTCTTACACATAAGCACAGCTCATAGCAGATTCATGCTGAGTATTTGGTAGCCATTCAGTCTCTCCCCACAGTATCAAAACTTCTCTGAGTCTTTTCTTCTGTTAAAATATCAAGTTGTTCATCTGTGGCTCATCCCCACGCCTGTGATTTGCAGTAATGTAGGACCAGTTTACCATCACTGCCAAAACACTACAAAAAGAAAAGACAACATATTAAACACTAATTTTTTTTTAGATTATGAAAGAGTTCTATAACATACTACCTTTTTAAAAAGATTACTCTTTCTATCACATGTATCAGTAATTATACATTTTCAACAAAACCAGGGTACCCTGGGAATGGCCTTAAATACTTTCACTGCCCTCAGGACATCTCTGATCAAAAGGTATTTTCAACTCTTTCTCAGCAGTGCTAGTGTTTTATTAATGATTATTGTCATGAAGCAGCACTGTTGAATAAGGCCACTCTAATGCAGTTTTATCAATTTTTTTTGGAGTCAGATCTCAGTTATAGACAGGACAGTAATGAACAATGCAGAAGCGATACAGATTAGACAAAATTTCTAGGGAAAGCAAAAGATGACTTCTAAATAAAACTTATCCCTTGACTGTTTAAGCTTAACTTATTAAGATCCTACCATGTTAAAGGAGTTCATGACATAAAAGAACAAGGTTTTCTTTTCCCATTGATAATTAAGATAGCATGCTACCTCTTAAAGTGTGAATCAATAAATAATCCACACTACACAATAGATGTGATACCCATGGGGGAAGGCTACTTACCTCATATAGAGTTCCAACTTCTTGGTCTGGGGAAGGGGCAAAGGATTGATTCACATAAATAAACTATAGGGAAGAAAAAAAATGGATTCAGAATGGTATCCTTTCTGTAACTAAGGCACTTTTAAATACTGTGGTATGTCCATGTGTGTCTGTGCCAGAGGTCGACACTTGGTGTCCTTGATGGCTCTCTTGCCTTATTTGCCTGAGTCTGAGTCTGGAGCTCATCTAAAGGCTAGTCCGGCTGGTCAGTGAGATAATTGGTCTGCCCATCTAGGCACTGGGGTTACATAGACCAGCACAAGGCCGAGGTTATGGAGGTGCCTGGGTCTTCATCTTTATAGGTGGAACGCCCAGACTGAGCCAGTTCCTAGATAAATGCACTTAAGCAGTTTTTCACAAATAGATTTTGGAAGGATATTCAAACACTACATTAACAAAATGCCTACTTGGCATGGTAGCTCCTAACTGTAATTCCAGCAGGTGAGTGTAGCAAGTGAGTTTAAGATTGCCCATGAGTTCAAAGCAAGCCTGGGCTACACAGTAAAGACTACTCTAAAAGAAGAAAAGCATCCCACTGAGCTACAAGATAAAATTTCCTCTAATACTTTCACATATGCAGGTAAAAACCAATACATTTAATACTGGGCATTTTTCTTGGTTATGTTACACAGTTTTCTCCTTTCTTTTGACCTTTACTACTTTTGAAAAATTTCAGGGGTACTGATCTTCAAACTGGACACTATTAGTTAAGTTACTTACAGAAACAAAAGAATTCATTGTTCCAGACTTCAGTTTAATCTGTTTTAAATTAAAATATTTCTAGTGCTTAAAAAAATTCCTAAAGATATTAAAGCAAAAGGTCATAGTGCCAGAGGCCTTTGATCAACTTCTTTTTAGAAAATAGAAGAAAATTGGCAGGTAACATCCAACATCCATCTCAAAATCTAAGGTAAAATACTTTAGGCTTAACAATCTTCCCTCTCCTCCCTGCTCCACCCCACAAAGAAACAGTGTGAGAACAGTCAGTCAGGCAACAGGTATTATTTATATAATAACAAATATTGGTTAAGTTTTTTTCCTTTCAGTACTGAGTGAGGTAGTTAAGAGTCCTGGCCCTAAATGTAAATAACATCTTATGGCCTATCCTATGTATATGAATGATACTGAAAATAGTATCTGTATCTCATGTGGCTACTTAAAAGATAAAACACACCAAATAACATATAATGCCAAGCACAGCTATGTGCTTTAGTGATTATTTAGTTAGGGAGGGACTGCATACACGATCATGGTGCTGTAACATTCTGTCTTCCTGTGATGTGCTATTTTAATTCATGTAACCATACTCTTAAGATGTTCACATAAGAATAAAATGTCTAATAATGCATTTCTCAGGATGTCTCCATTGTTAAATGTGGACAGTTGGTAATATGCTTGATATGCAAGCGTGAAGACCCGAGTTCTATCCCTCATATACTCCACAAAAAGCTAGGCAATGGTAGAACAGCAATGGGGAGACAGGGGAACCTGGGACCTACTGGCTAGCCAGTCTAGCCTACTTGGTGAGCTATATTTCTATGAAAAATATTCACTGCATGGATATTCAGTGACATTTGAGGAAAATAACTAAAATGCCAGCCTTAAAAAAATACAAAAACAAACAAACTGGAAAGCAGTAACAGTAATAATAAAAACGATGTTAAAGGCTTGGGGTTAAACACACTTCCTGCCAAACTAATGACCTGAGATAATTTCCAGAAACATGGCGGACCAAGAATCCATTCCCAAGCATTGTTCTCTGACCTCTACATGCACGTTCCAAGCCCCACTAGAGATAAACATAATAAAAACACAACTGTATTAGAGAGCAAACTGAATCTAAATTCATTTTATTTCAGAGCTCCTAAAGATAAAGTACATAAAACAAAAGCAACATGTAGCTTTGTATGTACATGTGTAACTCATGTTTGCCTAGGAACTATTGTGAATTTTTATAGGCAAACAATCATTGTTTTCATACCAACTGTTCCGAGGCCACAAGTTTAAGGAACTTCTTGATGAAGTCAATGAGTCCTTGGATGGTTCGGGTTCGCTCTACAGCCCATTTCTTTGTTTTCATTATAGGGGTATCTCCTACAGCCTTTAGCAGGATGTCAACTTAAAAAAAAAAAATTGTATTGAAACATCTGATGAGAATGTGATGTGAAACAGTTCAGAAAACAATTTTTTTTTGTTTGTTTTTTTGTTTTTCAAGACAAGGTTTCTCTGTGTAGCTTTGGAGCCTATCCTGGAACTTGCTCTGGAGACCAGGCTGGCCTCGAACTCATAGAGATCTGCCTGCCTCTGCCTCCCGAGTGCTGGGATTAAAGGTGTGCGCCACCAATGCCTGGCTGAAAACAAACTTTTTAATCGACATATTTTATGTAATTATTATTTTGGAGTTATGTCATAGATATAAAAATATTAGACTATTCTCCACTATCTCCTTTGAGCCTATGGAAGTTCTTCCTATGGGATTAATCTTTAAGACACATTTTGGCACAACAGAATTCTAAAGGTAAGAAATTGATTTGGCCCATGATATAAAACAATACCCAAACTGCCAAGATACTCATGCATTTTTTTCCCCTACCAAACTGGTGGTAAAAACAGGGTGGAAGTGCAGGCGGTGCTGCTGTTGCCTCAGTAACATGGCATACCTTTCTGGAAAGCAATACGGTAACACATATCCCACACTTGAAGATACACCTGACTCAATAATATGCTACTAAAATCTTAAAAAGCTTGAAATGTATAAAGATTCACTTTGAAGGATGTCACCTTCATCAAAGCATTTATTTTTACAGGAAAAAAAGCAGTAAATTTACATATTCAACACATATATGTAGATACCATTAAAATATGAGATATTTTATGGTAGAATTTATAAAGGACACATATTCCAAATTGGGTCCAAACAGTGGCTCTCTCTTGTAGAGCTGCAAGCATTGTTATCTTTCAATCTCAGGTCCCTATAATGGCACCTACCTCACAGAGTTGATACGAGGGTTGAGTCAGTTAATATGTTATTAAATAACTGTTCAAAATCTCATTATAAAAGCAGTTTAAAGTTTAAGAAGTTGACAAAATGTGCAAAATAGAAAAACTATGTATAACTCCATAACTTCATTAAGTATCGAACACTTATTCACATTAATATAGAGTATATATCAAAACGTTACTTCATAGTAGTGACATGGGTTTTTGTAAATACTAAATTTTCTATACTTAACTTTTTAATGAAAAGAAGAAAACTATTACTATTAAAAAATACAATCAGGGCCCCAAAAGAAGTTGCAAAGACAGCAGCAGTAATGTTTCAGTGATTCAAAACACAGATCTGCGAACCAAGACCGATCTTAATGAAGGTCATTTCCCTTTAAGAGACACCTGTGACCAAAGGCCCCCTGAAAGCAGAATGTAAAACTGCTATCATTCTCTTGCCCCATTTGTTTGGTGTTTAAAGTTGGGATCAATTTATTCAAGTTTCCTCCTGAAGCCAGGTGTGGTGATACAGGCCTTTCATCCTAGCACTTAGGAGGCAGGTGGATCTCTGGGAGTCTGAAGCCAGCCTGGTCTATAGAGCGAGTTCCAAGAGCTCAAGTTTCCTCTTGAAATGAAATACAGGTGCCTCGAACATATGATGTGGCTCATATCCTGGAAAAGAGCTATGTAAGTGTCCTTTCAGTCATTTGGGAAATAAGGATGAGTTAGGAAGGCAGAAAGGCGATTTTGGTTAGCCTATCTTTCATATCTTCCTTCCCAGTGCCCTCAACCCCCGGGAGCAATCAATAACTGGGCAGCAATTAGGCACTGAGTTGTACTATTGAAGAAAGAGGAGCCAGAGGGCAAGAAGCTAGAGACACAGTAATTTATAGTAATTATATAGTAATTACAGCTATAGTCTTAGTTCCCAAAATGACTTGCTTGTAGCTCAGAACCCTGACTACACATTAGAATCAACCGGAGAACAGTTAATTTACACAGCAATTAAATTGAAATCTTTTGCAAAGTAGGACCTTAGCACCGGTATTCAAAAGCTTGGCCAGGGAAGCCTGTAATACTGTGCAACAAGGGTCAAGAACCTGTTTGCTTCAGCAATCCTTCTTCTGCAAATCACAGTGGAAATGTGAAATATCTGATCATCAAATTGTCTACAAATGGATAAAAATAAGACTTCAATTTATCGAGAAAGAGAAGAAAAAGAAAGAAAATATGGAGACCTCAAAAAACACACTCAACTCAGGCAATAAATACATTTTCTAGTTTTTGTTTTTGTTTTTTTTAAATACAGCAATCATCAGTGTGAAGGACTAAAACTTTGATTTAGTCAGTTGATTTTGGCCTGGGCTGGCCTTGAACTCAGAGATCTGCTTGCCTCAGGCTTCTGAGTGCTGGATTAAAAGTGTATGTTCACGGGCTGGAGAGATGGTTCAGTGGTTAAGAGGCCTGGCTGCTCTTCCAGAGGTCCTGAGTTCAATTCCCAGCCACTACACGGTGGCTCACAACCATCTATAATGAGATCTGGTGCCCTCTTCCATCCTGCAGGCATTCATGCAGACAGAACATTGTATACACAATAAATAAATAGCGTTGGTGGAGCGCGCCTTTAATCCCAGCACTCGGGAGGTAGAGGCAGGGGGATCTCTGTGAGGTCGAGGCTA